AAAGTAAAATCTTAAACTCTGCTTCTCTTCCTCCTTACTCCCTCCATCTCTTCCTTCTTTCCTTTCCCCATCCTTCTCAACTCAGTCTACAAAACATTACTCTTAGATTAGGAAGAGAAAAAGATAGCAACAGCCCAGGGCAAGTTAGAGTCTGAACAGGGTGTGGAAATCATCTATGCTGGTGGCAGCGCATGCCAGTGACAGAAGCCCAGGAGCCTGACAGAGGTGAAGAGGCACCTGCAAGGGGTGAGATAAAGGAACTACATGGGAATAGTTAAGGAAAGGAAACTAAATGGGTGTATAAATGAAGAATAATGGAAACCACACCACTTACCTCTGAAGAAGGAAATAGATCAGTTGGAAAGTTTAAACTTTATGGCATCCAATTGAAAATGTATTGGCATGGACCCATACTTTGAACATATAGTATCAAAGACAATTGCTAAGTTGTGTTGTGTTTATTAACAAGTATACCAGACTTGTTATATGTGCACACAGGCATATATTGGCCAGCTCAATCCACTGAGATGTGGGTGTGACACACCTCTGTTCTTGGCTTTTAAATATTCTTAACTAAAGGAAGTCAGGGCTCTACAAACACATGATTGATTCTAGGATTGGGAAAGCACAGATCCAGGATGAGCCTAGAATGCTTTGTTACACTAGAAAGTAAGAGGTGGTCAAAGAATGTAGGTGAGGTCATGATGACACAGTTTGTTGAATGCTTGTTTAGAGGAACACCCACTGACCTAAACTGAGTGGCTTACAGCATTAGTTATAATAAAAAGACCATAATCTACTGCATAAGATGGGAATTCACAATCCCATGCTGATATAAACAAAAGGTGAAGCAATAGAATGCACACTAGAAGAGGGTAGTAATAATTAGCTTGGCATAGTCTAAGTCCATTGGAAGACAAAAGATGGCTTTGTGGCTGTAATAGTGTAGAGATTTTAGGCTACTGCTCCCAAGGCAAGAGCAGTGAATGGCAGGAGACACAGAGCTTAAGCACTCTCATAAGACCCTTAGCCACCTCTTTTCATTTCCCCAGTTTCCAGGGAAACCCACCTTCTTCCCTAGTTTTACATGATCCTCTAAGAAAGTGTCTTCCACTCATCTGAGATCTTCCATTTTCACCCCAGAGCATGAACATCATCATTAATCATCAGAGGGAAGGTGACTCAAATTCATGACACAAATGTTTACTTGTTTTCATAGAATTTTGTGATGGAATATGCCTTTAGTTCTTTGAAGCTGCCTATAGCTTAAAGTGCAAATTTTAAATAATTCAACCAATTATACTACCGGGCTGTGGTAGTGGATGAAGGTTTTTAAAAGCTTTAAAGTTGGTGAAGGGACAGGTAGAAGGTATTTTAGGCTTTTTATGCTGTGTGGTCCTGAAGGAACTCAGCTTTATCATTATACAGTTGACCACAGGCAGCACAATGAGCTCAGTTGTGTGTCATGAAACACTAGCTCCCGACATATGAGGTTCATAGAACACTCATGATATACGGTGTTGTTCTCACTTGCACTCTGCTCCATTTGAAAATGCAAAATTATTTTTAGTGTGTGGACTGTGTAAAAATGAACACTGGTCTATATCTGTCCCTCTCGATGTAGTTTGTAAATTTCTGCTTGAAGACAATCAGATGACAATATTGACAGGTTTCCAGAATTTCTTTCATAAATGGCATACTTTTGTGCATTCATTATAGGTTTTACAGATATTACTAAGAATCATTATTCTTGTGCATCTATAATCTAGGCTATGGTGACCTCTTGAAGTGAATAAATGTGCTGTTACCTTCTTTTGAGGTCCCATAGAGCCCAGATGTTCACTATTTTAGGAGAATGAAGCTGGCGGGGAGAATAAGACTGGGTAGATTAATGGGTTTATTTTAGATTATCATTAGTATCAGGCTGGCTTTGTTCCTGTGGTAGCTGCAAGAAAATGCCCCCAAAAGGAGTGGCACTATTAGGAGGTGTGGCCTTTTTGGAGTGGGTGTGGTGTTGTTGGGGGAAGTATATCATTGTGAGGCCAACTTTGAGGTCTCATATACGCTCATGACACTGCCCAGAGTCTCAGAGACCGCTTCCTGTTGCCTGCCTATAAAGATGTAAGGACTCTCAGCTCCAGCACCATGCCTGCCTTGTTTCCAGGCATGATGATAATGGACTAAACCTCTGAATTGTAAGCAAGCCACCCCAATCATTTTTTTTTCTCTATAAGAGTTGCTGTGGTCATGGTGTCTCTTCACAGCAATAGAAACCTAACTAAGACAGTTCCCTATAATGACTTTAGTTGTAGGTGATTTTTAATTGTGTGTGCTCTCTTTTTCCTTATTTCCTTTATTTGACTCTTGAATTGCTCCCAAGATAGTTGTTTTAGAATGGGCCTGTGGGAATGAAGCATTGGTGAATCTCAGAAGGAGAACTAAAGTTTTTGAAAGATGTGACAGTCAATCTTAGTCAACTTGATACAATGTAGAATCACCATGAAAATGAACCACTGGGCATGTTTGTGAGGGCTATTTTAGATTTGGTTAATTGAGGAGTCAAGGTCTACCATGAATATGAGAGATACTATTCCCTGACCTAGACTCTCAGACTGAATAAAATGGGCAAAAGGATAGGAGTGGGTGCATTCATCTCTCCTGCTCTCTTACTGTGGGTGCAATGAGATCAGCTGCTTCAAGGTCCTGCTGTGATGACTTCTCACCACAGTGGACTCTGAATGGAAATAACCCTTTCCTTGAGTTACATTTGTCAGGTATTTTGTTGAAGAAACAAGACAACTAAAATAGGCATGTATTGCATATATGGTTTTATTCATTTCTAAAGTTGCCAGAAAAAAAGTGCAGGCCAGCCAGGTGTGATGGAATATGCCTATAATCCCAGCAACTGGGGGAGGCAAGCCAGTAAGCCTGAAAGTTTGAGCCAGATTGCGCTAACAACAAATCCTGGCAATATGATCTTTGAAAATGTTTTAAAAGACTTTCAGAAATCACCAAGCATGTTTTTTCTATACTTAACAGATCATATAGTTTACTGAATAAGATGGCATTTGTAAAGTTAACATGTTCCTTATATTTATCAGAGTAATATCCCATTCTTGTCTTAGACTTAGCTAACTCATACAATAATCCTATGAAGTAAGTAGGAGAGACAAAACTTAGGTACAAATGGAAAAAAAAAAAAAAAGGTCCAAGTTAGGTCTGGTCTCTCCAATGTAATCTTGTACCTCTGATAATTGAGGAGGATTGTTCTTCCAGCCATGAGTGAATCCAGGGAGTCAAATGGTATCTTGAGTTCTCAGGTTACAATACTTAAACCAGTTGTACTGCCAGGTTGTTTTTCAAAAGCCCAGTTTTCTCTTGGTGGTCCCTTCCTTTCCTTCCCAGTTTCACAGCATTCCCAAGAAACATCACTAAGCCCAAGCAGCAACATTCTCCCTGGTTCTAGTTGGGAAGGCCTTAGAGAAGGACGTCATTCCCCATTAGGACCACTTGATGTAATAACAGAAAGGGATGCTAAGTAAATAATCAATAGCCTTCTACAAAGGAGGCACAAGGAAATCAATTTTTCCTAGGCTGCACTGTTGACTGGTAGAAAATACAACAGAAACTAATGTCTCCTTGCCTTTGTTAAATGCCTCTGTTTCTACTTGTGTAACTATGCTATTTCCTTGGTAGATGTAGCCTTATGCCACCATTTTAGACTAAAAGCTACCCTCCACAGAGTTTACCACTGTAATGCCATTCTTTTACATGTGTTGCCTTGTCTTGCAAAAACATGTCAATTACTTCCCATTTAAGGAACATAATTATGTCTCTCTTATTTGGGTCAGTATTTATAACTCTGGTTTTGCAAAATAATTTTAATGTTTTTCTGTAGCTTTGATGTCACTCCCACACCTACACAAAGCAGACGTATTTGTTTTTATTTTTGCCTTGCTTGGGGCAAGGAGGCTCTGATCCAAGGGCATCATCACTTATGAGCTTCACAGGTATTTTGAAATGCATTTTATGGTACTTAGAAGTGGATCTTTAGAAAGAATACAAAATATAAATTAATGTGTTATCAGGCAATTGTGTTTCTTTCCCGAATTTATCCCTTACTTTTCTGTGACAGGTGTAATATAAAATGCTGATTCGTTGTAAGGGTTGACCATCTTTCTATAAGCAGATGAAGTGCTGGTTTAGTTGAAAGAGGACTTGAGAGGATGCCAGCTGTGGTGGACCGTTAGAAGTGGCTTCCGCTCTGGGCCTCAGTGGTGCCCCTGCTTGCCAAAGGCGGTAGTATCATTGCTTTATTTTTGTAGAGCAAAAAGCAGTCAGAATGCTTCTATGATACAAAATTACATATAAATGCCAACATTTCATTTATTTGAAAACTGTTTTCCCCGTGACGTCTACGAAGTAAGTAGAAACATGTGGAAACAGCTATGTAAATGGCTTCTTGGAAAATGTGAACGGATTTTTCTGAAATGCCCTAACGCGGCGAAACGTGCAGATCCCACAAAGAGCGACGGTGAAGAGGCTTCTGAGTTTTCTCAAAGGTTCCTGATGAACTCTTTTGCACATATATACTATTGTGAATAATTTCTTGTACATCGGCAGTGTTGTAAGAAATTTTCTTTTGGAACAAGAAAGTAACAAAATGAAAAGAATGTGAACTTTTTCTTCAGTGTACTGCTGGCCCAGCCCGGACGCCGCCCGAGGTCGCAGCGCCACCTGCCGGACATCCCAGTCCGCAGCTAGTGACTCCGGGCTTCTCAACCTTTGCGGGCGAGGCCTCGTCCCCCCAAGTCCCCCCTTAAACCCGTGTAAAAGGTCCAGGACAGCCCCTTAAAGCGAGCTCCGCGCTGGACTAACTCCTCCCCTTCCAGGGCGGCTCCTTCATGGTGGGCGGGGCCACGGCAAAGGGGGCAGGGCTCCGCTGGAGGGCAGCGCGGAAGGGCGTGGCTAAGAGGGACGAGGCCTGTACGTGGTGGGCGTGGCCAGACTCGGGGTGGCCCTTGCCGTGGGTGGGGTTACGGCTAGAAAGCGCTCACCTAACTGGCTGCTTCTTCCCGGAACTTCCTGTGTCTTGACTTTGTGGATGGCGTCACTGGGAACCTGAACAGCCGCGTGCGTTTTGCATTTTGGTGAGAAGCTTACGAGGTTTTTCGGCGCGCTGGGGTGAAATGTTTGGGGCCCAGGCAGGGCGTGCTGGGATTGCTGGCTGCGGCGGCCGCGAGGGCTCTGTTGTACGGGCTTCTCCGCCCGCTGCCTAGTACTCGTCGTGGGCTATGGACCCACCCGCCCAGGCAGGCCTGAAACCTTGGGGCCCCCCTTGGCAGGTTCCCTGTATTTGAACCGTCTTCATCACAATTTTCAAGCTGTCAGCTTTCCCGATCCTGGCCTCCGTTAGGTTGTTCGTCTTCTCGAACCATTCTGTGTTTCTGGCTTAGTTATCTCTTGTCTTTGGAGTTAGTAACACCTTTGCCTGTGTATGCTTTATGTTGATGTTAGTGTTTGTGTATATAAAATGCCTGTTTGCTTGGCCTATGTGTACTTCAATACCGATTCTTTATTACTTCAGGCTTAGTAACTGATAAGAGGTTAGATAAGGGATTTTAGAGGAATTGACTAACTTTTTAGTTTTTTGTTTACTCTTGTAATCATGTATTATCTACTGCCTATTTAATTTATTTATTCTTGTTTTTTTCGAGGCAGGGTTTCCTTATGTAGCCCTGGCTACAGGCTGGCCTTGAACTTACAGAGAAATTCCTCCTGCCTCTGCCTTTTGAGAGCTGGGATTAAAGGCATGCACCCACCAACACCACCACCAGGTTTTTTTTTTTTTTTTTTTTTTTACAAACAAACAACAAAAAATTAAATCTTGGCAAACTGCATCATTTCTTTCTTTAATCTGTAAAATTGGGATAATAGTACCTACCACAAAGGGATGTGGTGAGGAATAACTGAGTTAAATCACATAAAACATTAGTCTAGTGACTATATGTAGTAAAAGCTCAATAAATGTTAATTATTTTAAAATTTGCTCTTTAGATGAATTATTAAATGGATTTGACAGAAACTTATAAGGTAGAATTTAAATTTTTATTTAGCCTGAGCAAAGAAAACAAGGCTTTAATGTAAAAACCATTTGTATCGAAAATATCAGGGAAGTTGTTGAAAGGCATATGAAGGAGGTAGGAAGTACAAGATTAAGGAATGTTTTTGATAGGGAGTACTAGACAAAAGAAAGAGTAAAAAGGGAGAAGAAATCAAGTATTTAGTACCTAATATGGTAGGAACCAGAATCGTGTATTAGTGTGTGAACTTGCAGAATTGTTGCCAGTTACTACTGTAAGATGCTGTAGAGAAAAAATTGTTGCTTGTGTGTGTTGATGGTACCAAATTCAACCAATAGATATTAACCGTGCATCTCGGGCCTGGGCTGGGGACATTGGGAAGACTGATACATGTGTGCCTCAGTTGATAAAGCAAAATGTCTAGGGGTGGAAGACATGGTAGTTATGTAGCAACTTTTAAAATAATCAAAACTAAGATGGCCATAAAAGTTAAAATTATTTGTAGTTCAAAATATAAGCAGTTTAACCCTTTCTTTTCTAGACAATGGCCAAGAACAAATTAAAAGGGCAGAAGTCCAGGAATGTATTTCACATAGCCAGCCAAAGAACCTTCAAAGCTAAAAATAAGGCAAAACCAGTTACTACTAATCTTAAGAAGGTAAGTATTCTGTCTGACTTTATAAGCAAAATGTACTTAGAAACTACTGAATAATGGGATTTTGTTATTTAAACCAGAAATTCTCAGCATTTCTTACTAGACAAGATTATTTTAAAAATATTAAGATAAATAACCTACCTCCCTTTTAAAATACAAATTAAAGAGGGGGGCAAAAACAAAGAAACTGCACATATGAGGTCCCACACAACAGCCTAATAGCTGTATGAGACCACAGAAATTACTGTTAAGACAGTATGCAGGACAGAAGTTCTTATGAGCGCACTTTGAAGTATATTCAAGATTCCACTAGCAAAGGTGTACAATGTCCACCAGCAGCTTGCTAACTAGAAACTTGGAACTTAAAAGCCTATAAAATGGAGCCAGGCTGTGGTGTTATACCCCTTTAATACCAGCACTCAGGAGGCAGAGGCAGGTGAATCTCTAAGTTTGAAGCCAGCCTGGTCTACGGAGTGAGTTCCAGGACAGCCAGGGGTACACAAAAAAACCTGGTCTACCCCCCTCCCCCAAAAAAGCCTATAAAATGAAGAATACAAAATTTGAAAAGGTTTGTCTTTATTCTTCAAAATAGGTGCTGGAGAGATGGCTTAGCAATTAGAGCATTTATTGCTTTTGCAGAGGACCAAGGTTGAGTTCTAAGTACCCCATGGGGGCTTACAACTAATTCCAGTTCTAGGGGATCTGATATCCTTTTTTGGCTTCTGTGGTTCCCTGCATACACATGGTGCACATAAACTTATGCAAGTGCATAACATATAAATAAAAATAGTAAATCTTTATACTTCAAAATGCCTAAGAAATTGTTTTCATGGCTAAGTAGATTATGTATACTCGTAGAAAGTTTCTTAGCTTAAGTAGTAAGTGAGCTGGCTCTCCAGGATGTAATAGTTGTCATAAAAGTCCACTAAAAACTGACTTACCTCTCTTAAGAACAGGGATACACTTTCTAAAGGAGATTTGTGATTGCATAATTATAAAGGAAGTAAAGTTGGGTAAGACAGGAGTTTGGAGAGAGTTTTCCTTGTAGTTGCAGAGACCTGAATGAAAAAGAGCTAATACTGCAGAATGGGGAACCTGAGGGCAGCATGTTCATAGTCTATGAGGAGTATTACTTTCTTGAGCTATAAGACAGTAGAACTTTTACATAAGTGGATAGGATCAGAGAAAGGGCACATCAATAGGTAGTTGGAGTTAATATCAAGTAATTCCTTCAGAAAGTAGCTTTATTAAATTTTACATAAATGACAGCTTGAAATTTGTGACAATGAATTTAATGAAGCCAGTCAGTGAGTTATGACTTTAGTCAGATTAAGATCTGGACTCAGAATGGGTCAACTGTGCTTAGCCAGGTTACCAAGCAAATTTTGTCAAGGTACGAGAGGTGAGAGAGGTGACGGGATGGGGGGTGTGGGGAGAAGTGAGTGGTAGAGGGAGGAGATATGTTGTCTCATAGGGGCAGAGGGTAGAGGTCCATTGTTAACAGAACAGGACCTTGAGACAGGAGACCATTAGACTAGATTTTTTTGAACTCACTGAGCAGAGATTCCACACATAAAGTGGTCAGAGTTTTTGAATTCACAAAGCAGATAATTGTGGTATTTCTGGATGACAATAGGGAATATTGGTGTTCTCATGAAGAATGTGGTACAAAGAAGCCAAAGGCTTTTAAGGAGACACTGGTGGCAGCATTGAATACACCATTTCTTCTCTGTGCTTAGACTGAAAAGGGCTAATGTTCATACATTAAAAGAAGGTGTCCAGAAAAGGGCTCAAGAGTTTCCTATTTGAAAGGACTAAAAACATTTGATCCAGGTTTGTTTATTATAAATGAGTTAAATACCAGAGCCAGGATTTGTCACATAACATTTTTTAAAAAAATGTGTATGTGTATCATATGCCACTTCTATGTAGGCCTGCAGAGTCCAGAAGAGGGTGTCAGATCCCCTAGAAATGGAGGTGGTTGAGCCACATGATGTGGTTGCTGAAAACTCAACTCCAGCTCCAGATCACACATTTTGATCTGTTTATGTCAGACTCTTAAGCATGAGGCAAATCCGTATTTTTTAAAAGTCCAAACTTTCTGACTAAATTTCCTTATAAGACAACAGTAGTTTTTGTGTAAAATATCTACTTGGTAGAGTCAAGAGTTTATAGATTTCTTTTTTAAAACCTTTTTTTTTTTTTTTTTTTTTAAGTTTTGTGTCTGTGCCACATGCAGACAGGAGTAGGAGAGGGTGTCTGAGGTCAGAGGACAGCTGCGTGTGTTCAGGATCAAATCTGGGCTGCCAGGCTTGCACAGCAAATGCCTTTACCTGCTAAGACATTTAGATAGTGCAGTACTTTAACAGTTATGAGATACTAAGATTTTTTGTTTTTACAGATAAACATTATGAATGATGAAAAAGTCAACAGAATGAACACAGCTTTTGTAAATATACAGAAAGAACTTGCAAACTTTTCAAAAAGCCTTTCTCTTAAATCTGTGCAGAAAGAGCTGGTAAGTAGAAATTAGTTGCTTTCATGACTGATAAACTGAAGGCTAACACACTTGAATAAGTAATTTTTACCTAGTGTTTTGGTATATATAGCACTGTAAGTCATATTCAGGCTCAAACACTAAGTCTGATATAGAATTTATTGTATTTCCTAAGGGACTCTAGAAGAGTTAAACTAGGTAACAGTTTGTAGTCATGGTGGTTTAGTTTGCTGTTACTTAAGTTTTTGTTGTTGAAACTTTCTTCCCTTTGATTCCTCAGAAGCCCCGTGAAAATGAACCGGCTAATGTTGATGAAGCGACAAGACTAATGGCTCAGTTGTGATCTAGTGACAGTATATCACATTCCCCCAAAGGTCAATAAACCGAATGCTCGTACACCTTGATCTTTTTAATCTTGTTAATGGACAGGCATTGGCACATTTTAAAAACAACTACATAACAGATCTTTCCTAGACTCTAGGAAAGTGGAATGTCAGAAGTCAACAAACTGAAAGACTTAAAGTGCTAAAACAGAAGGCACTTCACAAAGTCTGTCCACGCAGCAGTGACGTCCTTCCCTCTATGTGGCAGTGAATGTCTGAAGGACACATAGATAGAACTTTGTGGCAGTAACAACATAAAGACAAATAAGTGATCTTCTGGGCAATCTTTTGTTGTGATGGCCTGAAGCCTGCTTTAACTTTCCTCAGCAGAGGAAGCTACAGCAGAATTCAGCTTGAAAGAAACTGAATATAATCACTGGAGGGGCATGCTGGCAGACAGTTAATCACCCCTTGAAGCAGTCAGAGCCCTTTCAAGTTTTGTGAAGTAAAAAATAAAATGTTAGGGAAGAACATTTCAGAATCAGCGAACTAAAACGGTGTTACATTCATAATTTTAAATACTTAGGTTATTAAGAATTCTACAATGTTACAGTTAGAGGTAGATAACAGTCCCAAGTTTCCATGGAATCTAATAATTTAGTATCTGAACATCAAACAAATCACAAACTCCTTCATTATCATCTAAATTAAAACTGTAGTCATCTGCTGGGGTAGGAGAAAGCCGTAAGAGAGGAAAGACTGCAAAGGAAAAATATTCATTGTTACAGTTGGTTTCCATAGGAGTTACGCTGATTAACATAACATAAAATTTCTCACAATTCTGAATCCAAACTTACATAAAAGCCCAGCAAAATTACTAATTAGCCTACTACAGATGATTTTTAATAATTATTTCATATGACACCCTGGCTAATGTTAGTAATAGTTCAAAGTGATTCAGGTGGGCAGCTTGAAATTGCCTGTGATGGGAATATGTACAAAACTTCATTGTGACATACTATTCAATTTCAATGAAAGTGGTAAGTATTCCTTTTGGAGTCTTTCCCTAAAAATGCAAGTAAATAAAAATTCTAAAAGATGCCTAGTATAATCTTGAGTCATATGGCATTTATACTCGAGGATAGTGATATATATCCAGTAGTAAAATCTTCAACTACTTACCATCAGAAGACATCAGTTCATCAATGATGTCTCCACTAATAGATCCTGTTGAAAACACAAATGTGATAGAGGCAATTACATTTCAATAGTGGTAGTCACATCACTAGTTTGATTGGCAGAATGAAGTTAAAAGTACTAGCACATTGTGGAAAGAAAATTTTATGAGTACTTACTTTCTTGGCATTATCTTTAAACTTGCAAACTGAAGACAGGAAAAGACTGCCCCCATTCTTCTAAAACTGAATCTGTCACAAGTGTGATATAATTCTACTCACTTAACAACACTTCATTTCTCCTTATCTTATACATCAAAATGTACTTGCTTTACCTAAACAATATTTCTCCTATCTGCTCATTACTTCCCTTTCCTATATCTCCCTGGTGGCACCCTATTCTAGTCTTATCTTGTCTCTGTTGTGGCAACTGCAAACATCTCATCTTCAGTCTCTGAAGCTTCTGAAAAGCTATCCTCTGCTTCCCAAAAGCACATTGTTTCCAAGTCAGCCTACCCTCAAGCTCACCACTGCACAGCTAACTTCTACTTTCCCTTGTACAAGTCTTAGCTGGTTTATTAGCTAACATTTTCATCTGATATTCCAAACCACATTACATGTGGCCCCAAGTAACTTCTCTCACTTTCCCAAATGGTACACAGAAAGGAATCAATTATAATTATTATTATTTTTAAATGCTCTTTGGAAGTCAATGTACCAATTAGGTTTAAGCTAAAGCATATACTGTTTATTTACCTCGTGTATCCCAATTAAATTGGAATTAGTACTTTTTTAAAGACTATATGTGTGCATCTCTTCAGCTATAGTGTATAAACTTATAGGAAGAAGCAAGGTATATATAACACAAAGCTTAAAAACTAAATTATGTCCAATTAAAATCTAGCTTCACCGTTACTGATTATGAAATTTCAGTAGATGCAATGATATATCCCATTAGCAAACAATACAAATTTTATAATACAGCTTTTTATATTTGCAGTGTATTTGCTTAGAAACAAAAGTTCTATATAGTCTAAACATTGTAACTGACTATAGATACTCCTATAATGTGCATATACACATACATGCATACAAATATGGATTTCATATGACATCCTGGCTAATATTAGTAATAGTTCAGTGATTTGGGTAGGTAGCTTGAAATTGCCTGTGGTGGGAGTACGTACTTAACTGTTGATTGTGACACACTGTTCAACTGCTCCTGAGCCAGTGTGTGAATAGTTTTCAGTAAAAGTAGTTAAGTATTCCTTATGGGTTCTTTCCCTCAAAATTCATACACATGCATACCCATATATGTATTATGTCTAGAAAAATATAAAGACAGAATTTGCTTTAAAATCTTCCTTTATAATACCTATTCTAGTAACAGGTATATAGAATATAGAGTATACTAAATTAAAACATTGAATAAGCTTATTTTGCCTTTTATCTAAAGCTCTCTGAACTGTTTGAGGCAGTCACCTGAAATTTTTAGATCAAAGACTTTCTACCAACCTGAAGATACTTCTGTAGCTGGTGTCTGCTGGAAACTCTGGCTTCTTTCAGAAACTTGCTGCTCAGGCAGGTTCTGAGCAGCCATGGTGGATTTCTGTGGAGTCACTGATGTTGAGGACTGGGAGGAAGGCTGTGTGAGGTCATCAGGTGGGGGGACAGGAAAAACCACCGGCTTAGATGAACTGGACTCTTTATTTATAAGCAGCACATGGATAGGTCCTGAGTGACTCTTTAAATTTATCTGGTATTTCTTTTGTCCATTCTGACCCTTTGAAGTTATTGGGCATAAACAAATAAGTATTATCACTGCTAGCTAATTTGACACATTAAGACAAAGGCAAAGTCATTAGAATCTAACAACTAAACTCACATGAAAAAGTCATTGGGTTGCAACACAGGAGAAAAGACCAAGTAGAATAGAATTCTGAGGTCTGTAAGCCACTTGCCCCTAAGAGGAACTTTGCTAAAATGGCTATCAGTTATAAAATTCTAAATAATCAATCTGTCCTGTCCTTTCCTCTTTCCTTGTCCCTGTTTTTCCCTTTGTTTTCTTTTCCTTCTCTTCCATTTCTTTCCCGTCCCTCACTTTCATCTTCACTGGACAGACTTATACTATGTTGTCCAGGTTGGTTTCAAAACTGTCTTTCACATGCTGGGATGATTATTACATGCATACACCACCATCCATTTTACTATCTGTAATGTTACCTGGCTGTGCTCAGTAATGTACAAAGTGGCCACATGCATGAACTCCGATCTCTGGAGTAAGCTACCACGACTGTGATCATCTACATCCTATTTGAATTTACAGATTTCACAAACCAAAACTTTTCCAAGACAACTGACTTGACTTCCTACATAGATAACAAAATTCTTCCTTTTCCAAAAGGTAATTTGTTTTGTAAAGCTTTAAAATACAGATATATAAATTCCTAAATGCTTTGAGAACAGGGGAGAAGGGACGTACAGATTCATTCAGCTACTTTTACCAAAGTATTGAAGATACCCACATTCAGATATCAGTGCTTTCAGATATATAAATACCAATAACTGAAAAGTGTCCACACACTGTTTGTTCTTGTTTAGTTCAAGAAAATATATTTGTTTCTCTTGAGACAGTAGATCTATTTCTTCACTTGTATAAAAGCTATCCTACATACCATTTCTGGAATAGGTACTTCGAGCTGTGTGCCAGAAGGTGCCTGAATGGCCAACAGTGTATCACCTGGTAAAATAAAATTAATAAATACTTAACAACTGTAGAATGCTATAGACCATAAAAGATGAGGTAAGAATGAGACAAAAGTATAGAATCAAAAGTGTAGACTTAGTCACAGGCTTCCAGGTGTGGTGGTACATGGTTTTAATCCCAGCACCTGGGAAATGAAGGCAGGAAAATTAAGAATTTCTTTGCTACAGAGTGAGTTCTAGTCCGGCACTGGCTAATTGAGAATCTATCTCAGAAGTTAAATAAACAGAGGCTAGAGGTGTAGCTCAGTTGGTAGAGTGCTGGACTATAAAAAAGGCCTGGTTCTATCCCCAACATTGCAAAAATCAGGGGTGATGGCACATGCCTATAATCCCAGCACCAAAGAGGAAGAGGCAGGAGGGATCAGAAGGTCATCCTCAGCTATATAGTGAGACTGAGGCCAACCTGAGACCCTGTCTTAAAAAAAAAGAAAAAAAAAAAAAAAACCTAGGCCAGATGACATCAGTGTCAATAAAATGAAGGCCATAACAACATGGCCATGCCCTGGATATTAAATAAGGACAGGGCATACATGTTATTAGTAGCTTTTATAAGTCTCAAGCATTCTCAGAGTTGGCTGCTACTCTCACTGAACAATTCAGGTCCTTAACTTTTCTTTTGTGTTCTGTAAAGTCTGAGACTGTGCAACCCTTTAGCCTCATATAAACATTGGTTACTTAAAGCAGTCAAACCATTTAAACAATAGGACACTAGAAGCTAAGTATAATAGAGTAACTGGTTGGTTATCCTTAGGCAAAT